CATATGTTTTTAGTCACCTGGTCAAGTGGTGTAGTTCTCCCACTTTTCCAACTTTAATATGCTAAATATCATGCATTGAAGATACCTTCATTGCCGTATAGAAGCATACGTTAAAGTAGCTTTGCGCTTAGTTAAGGCCCTGTACCCGGAGTGAACGCCTGAGTAGGCGTCTTGTTTAAATTAGATTGTTATCCACAACTGTACCCTAAAATCAATAACAGCACACTTCGTGGACTCCACGAAGTGTTGAAGATATTTCTGGACAGTAATGTTTGTAAGGAACGCTTACATTTGGAATCCATCCTTCAATTTCTTCGTCTGTTATAGCCATAGAACATATGATGTACGGTTGCAAACGTACGTTTTACATGTAATGCAACGATATTTACTATTTAGTGGCTTTTTCCATAGGCGTACGGGGCTGATGTTTTCTAGGGGGCCAGTTGAAAGTTTGCCCGAATTTTTATGGAGGATTGTATTGAAAATACCTGAATTTAACCTATTTTCTGATAAATCTGCCCGAATTTTCTTCATTTTTCCGAGCATTTGCCCGAATTTCCATGGTTTTCCAAAATTGAGGGGGGGGGGGGGGCTGCCCCCTGTGTCGTACGCCTATGGTTTTTTTGCAATTAGAACATGAATGTTGTTTGCACGCCATGTTGAAAATCATATCAATGATTTTCTCTTTCATGATGTATGTTCTTCCGTCAATGGAAAATAACCAGACATATAATCCTGCCTTAAATGTGAAACCATCACTTCACAAACCTCAATTTATGAACTCTATAAGAGGAAAAAAAAGTGAAAGAAAAAAAAGAAACAAAAAAAAACTGGCAACTCTGTTGTAATTTTTTTCTCCAACTGGTTTCCAAATGTTTGGGACGATTGGGGCGAAAAATGTTTGGGACGATTTGTCGTGACACGCGAAAACTATTCTTTAAACGCTCTTCAGAATATTTTGACTACGGCCGGATAGTCCAACTCCAATAACTCCACTGTACTGATTTTTCAAATCCAAGATATGAACGAATCAATATTCGAGACATTTTCGCTTCACAAAAATTGGAATGCAGTGCCAAGCATAGCCGAAGAATCTTCTTTTTTTATCTTCTAATATTCAGGATTTGTTTCAAGATAATTGCTTTGGCAAACGCCACCATATTTATTTTGTAGGCATTCATCTGTCCATCTTAAACACCCGCATGTTTTGATTTTCCGACCAAAATTCGACGTCTAAACTGCAAGCAACACTTTGGTCGAATTTTCGTCGCATAATTGTCACATTAAATTCGACGATAAATTCGACTGAAATTCGACGTATAAACTAGGCCTAAGAACTGTAAAAATGTGCTTTAGTAAATAAATGAATAATTTATCCATGCATTTGACCTACTTTGTGAATATTTTTTAAGATTAAAATTAATGCAACAATAATAAACAAGAAGATGTCTATTTATATAATATTTATTAAATTGATCGGAGATCTCACAACAACATGGCAACATGCCTATGATACTTGATGTGTTATACATTTTCATTTAAAAATGATATATGATCATATAATAATACTTGTTTTATTGTTTTAAAACAAGTGGAGCTCTCTGCTGGTTTGAAATGGGCTGTTATGACATTGAGTTGTCCACGTTGAGGAATCGCAGCTCGATTCGCCACAAAAACCTCAGGATCAGCTCGTCTGGAAATACGTACACGATCAAATCGCGTCGGCCAAAGACAATTAACAAAACTGTGAAAATCGGACAGATATAAATTCTAAAAAATATTAAAACAACTCCTAAGTCTTCTCAATCATACTTTAAAACTTTAACAAAAATTCATTGAAAATATCATCTTTAATTGCGCAAATTCTTTCCAAAGTATTAGACGCCATTTTGGCGAACGTCGAGTTGACAATAGTCACTTAAACGGCCAGTATCTCGAAAACTGCCGATGGCCGATGACTGGGATCATTCCATCAGATTTAAAGGACGATGCCAACGAAAATTTTTATTTTCTATTTCAATCCTACTTGACGACCTAACTATGAAAATATTATCATTTCCTTCTCGAGCATTTTAGTCTACAAGAAAAATGCATGCAAACTTTGTGTTTCGCCGCCATCTTGGAAAATATTTTTGAAAAGTTATCTCGAACTTTGTGACGTCATTAGATGGGTAGCACTAAAACTACAAGAGAGAATTATATTGCGTCCGTGTTATGTTAGCTAAAAATATGTCATTTTTGAGCGTTATACTGGCCAACACTCTTCGCAATCAAACAAGAGAAGTCTACACTATCAGATAAAAACATGTGGAGCGACCGGGAATTTACAATACAGGTAATTGATAATAAAATATTGCATTAGTATTTGTTACACTCGAATTTCTGCGTTTATTTAACACGGAGAAGGATATATATTATGAGAAATAGTGTTACAAACAGGTTACATACTTGGTAATTCTGCCTTTTGTTGTGGCTCGAAGTGCATTACGCGTGGTAATACTCGGTATTGCATGTTCCCTTACAAAAAATCCACATGAATTCACACATGTGATTTCATGTGAACTCATGTGATAACATGTGAAATTATGTGATCTTATGTGAAATTTAACATGTGAAAAAATTTCACATGAAATCACATGTGAAATTTCACAAATGAAAGGATTTCACATGAAATCACATGTGACATTTCACATGTGAAAAGATTTCACATGAAATCACATGTGACATTTTACATGTGAAAAAATTTCACATGAAATCACATGTGACATTTCACATGTGAAAGGATTTCATATGAAATCACATGTGACATTTCACATGTGAAAAGATTTCACATAAAATCACATGTGACATTTCACATGTGAAAGGATTTCACATGAAATCACATGTGACATTTCACATGTGAAAAGATTTCATATGAAATTACAAGTGAAATTTCACATGTGAAAGGAGTTCACATGGAATTATAAATTACAAGTGAAATTTACATGTGAAAGAATATAATTTCACATGAACGTTACAAATTACAAGTGATATTTCAAATGTGAGAGGATATCACATGAAATTACAAATTACAAGTGAAATTTCATATATATTTGAAAAGATTTTACATGAAATTACAAGTGAAATTTCACATGTGAAAAGATAAGGATTTCACATGAAATTACAAATTACATGTACAAGTGAAATTTCACATATGTGAAAAGATTTCATACGTAAAATTACAAGAGAAATTTCACATGTGAAAAGATAAGGATTTAATGATCACATGACATTACAAATTACAAATTACAAAGTGAAATTTCACATGTACGTGAAAGGATTTCACATGAAATTACGACTGAAATTTCACATGTGAAAGGTTTCGCAAGAAATTACAAATTACAATGAAATTTCACATGTGAAAGGATTTCACATGAAATTACAAGCAGTGGCGTCGCCAGGCCTCAGAAATTTGGGGGGGGGGGAAAGGATTCACATGAAATTGAAAATGGGGTTGGGGGGATTTGAGGGGCAAACTCATATTTTTTTTTGGGGGGGGGCAAGATAGAATTGTTAAATAGGTAGTGCTATTTGCCCATGCCGTTGTCATAGGACTTCCCCCCTCAAGGAGATTCGCCCCCCCCCCCACACACTATAGGAATATCGCCCCCCTTTAGGATATTCGCCCCCCATATAGGCGATGTGGTTTATTCAAATTTCGTGATACGTTCATCTTATTAGTGCCTTACACGTTTGAGAATTTAACTCTGCAAAACTAAAGCTTTTTTGTCTTTTTTGTCTTTTTTGAAACGTGTTATTGGAGTATTGACAAGTTTACCATTCAGAGATTTACAAACTAATATTGAAACTGTAAAAACAGTATTATACGCGGCATTCACTAATGACTAATGAGAACTTATAAACCATACATTTTCCGATAACGACAAAACGTTTCCTTTAGTCGCTCTCAGTGTCTAATAAGTTTTTTGAGGGGGGGGGGGTGAGGAGGGGGAAAAAGTAATTGGGGGGCATCCCCCTGCCACATGAGATTACAAGACTGTGAAATTTCACATGAGAAATGATTTTATATATAAAAGTAAAAAAGTGAAATTTCACATGTGAAAGATTTCACATGAAGTAAAAAGTGAAATTTCATATGTGAAAGGAAGTCACATAAAGTTACAAGCGAAATTTCATATGTTATTTAAAGGATTTCACATGAACGGTAAAAAGTGAAATTTCACATGTTAGAGGATTTTATATGAAGTTAATATGCAACTGAAATTTCATATGTAAAAGGATTTCACATAAAGTAAAAAGTGAAATTTCACATAAAATCATGCACTGCAAAACATCAAATTCTAGTCTAGAATAATTTTCTTATTTTTTAGATTATTTTTCGTATTTTAAGTAATTATTTCTTATCAAGCAACATTTCAAGAAAAAAATCTCGTTTTGAGAACAAGGCAAGAATTGGAATATTCGAGAATTTTTTTCTTATAAAGTTTGTTCGTTCACTGCAACCAGGTATATCAATCATGTTTCGCTCGCTACTCTGGTTTAAATAAATGATTACAAAGCCCAGTCGAATTGTAATCAAGACCCAACGTAGAATTTTTTTCTTATAAAGTTTGTTCGTTCACTGCAACCAGGTATATCAATCATGTTTCGCTCGCTACTCTGGTTTAAATAAATGATTACAAAGCCCACGAATTGTAATCAAGACCCAGTGTCGAAACGTTGGGTCTTGATTACAATTCGACTGGGCTTTGTAATCATTTATTTAAACCAGAGTAGCGAGCGAAACATGAATTCTTTTCTTATTTTAAAAATAACATTTTTCCAACCTAGAATAATATTCTTATAATCAGAAAAAAATTTTGAAATGAAGTTTAATATTACTTTAAGTCCTTTAAAATCGCATAAGAAAGCTAGGGAGCGTTTTTTGTTGTATCTATTTTAGAAGACAAGTGCCACGCGCGCAATGAGTTGTGGGATATCGCGTATCAAATATCAAGTGTCTAGTGTGATTTGCAAATTTTCGATTTTTTTCGTTTGGATATATTTCGCTCAAGAAAAGCTATATTTCGCTCAAGAAAAGCTAAATTTCGATTGGATAAGTGACTCTAAGTCCTGCTAAAGGCTTATTGATCGCAGGTATGTATTATTATTACTCTTTATATCATATAATTATAACGTCCATCGACCCTATTTATATTTCATTCTGCTAAAATTTGAATTTGCGCGCACGAGATTTTATATATTGAAATAATTTAATTCCAATGCCGCCAAATATTAGTTAAAACCAACAATTCAAATTTTGAACCAGCACATTATAGTAAATACTGGGTTGCACTTGTTTGACAAAACTCGAGAAAGCATCTTTGAACCCACACAGTGTATTAATATTTGAAACAATACGTGAAATGTGAATATGAATATAAATATGGGTTTGCTTTGCTACAAGCCTATTTAAGCCAAACCATGAGAATTATTTGAGAGTATTAATTAAATTATGTTCTTTTAATCACCTCTCCCCTGGATTTCCAAGGTCTTTCAAGTCATTGAGTGCCACTGAGCTCTCTCCCCTTGACAAGTAAAATCACATAGGCATTAACTCTGCCTAGGGTTACTGGCCGGGTTAGACTGAGTAAAATTAGTGGTGTTTACACTACAAGCCTTGGCCAGGCCAAGATAAATGTGGCATGTTTACACCATTGCACTATTTTTTTGAGGTCTACAGGCTCACTTTGGCTAATATTTTTTTATTATTGTGTTGTGATGTTGTCTGCTGGTTGTCTGCTAATCTCTCACTGTGGACACATGTTACCATGAAAATCAGGCCCCGGCCAGGGCGAAAGTGTTTACATTTCCACAAGCCAGGTAGGCTTACGCCAGGTCTGTTGTAGTGAGTCCAGATTTCCTGGCCTAGGTCAGGACAAGGCTGGGCCATTTCCACAAGCCTAGGCTTAGGCCAGGTCGGTTGTAGTAAGCCCAGATTTCCTGGCCTAGGTCAGGACAAGGCTAGACCAAAGTCTGTTACACTGTCAAAATGTTGGCCAAGTCTGGTAGTGTAAACACGACTATTGAATGCATCAGGGTGCATTACGACTAAATGGTTAGTGTTTCCCACAATATGGTAAAAAGGTATAAACTTTTGCTAGCTTGAGCTTGGATGATTTCCGAGCTAAACCCTTCTAGAGTTTACCCTGTATACATGTGCCTGTTTATATGATAATGGCATGACTGGACAGTAGGTTTTAATCCAGGATGGTGTGTTTAATATAGACGGAATACACCCCACCTGGCAGGAATGATAGAGTGCTTACTGTATATGAGAGTTTCTTGTCCTGGCAGGTGGGATCCTGTCTAGGCCTGATAGAAGTAGAATAATTCACTTTAATTACTAAACAGTTGATAGAGTTCACATTGCATGCTGGATCATGCCGGCGGTGTCATAATAATTACAAAGTGGCTACAGTATGATGCTTGTGATGTTACTCTGAGTGTATATCCACACCGTGCAAGCTTGAAAAATATGAAGGATTTCAGCAAGCTCAAAAATAGATCACAAGGTTAGGCAGATGGCTGCTGTGCTGTAGTCTGTGGTTCGAACCCGAGTTGGGACAGGTTTTTGTTCACCTTAACTAAACATGTCTTTTTTTCTGATTAGTTTATTTTTTAGGGGTAGAGGTTAGGATTAGTTTTGTTTGAATTTGACTTTAACTATAAATACAACCTGTGTGGAGACTAAGAATGAGAGTGCCATAAATATAGCCTGGCAAAGTTTGTTTACGGGCCTGAAGATATATGGCATTAGACAGAGTACAATAATCTGGCATTTAAAAGACAGTAAAATAAGGAAGTAGGACACACAAGGGTTAGGGTACAATACAACTTAATGGGTTCACTAGACACATGACCATATTAACCCAACAAAACAGAAATACTTCTCAAGAAGTTTAGCAGGACATTAAGATGGGGTGTTAACTGGATATTACACTAGGCCGGACATGCATAAACTGCATTGTACCACAACTTTATTGTTTTAAGGTTGTTTTCCAGTCCTCGCACAAAGCTCCTTGCAGCTCGCTGCGAGGGCTTGTATCTAATTAAAATTAACTGTTTAGCATTGTGATTGGATGAAACTGCTCATGCATGCACTCTCAGCGAGCTGCGAGGAGCTTCGTGTGAGAACTGGAAAACCGCCTTTACTCTGTCTGATGGGTCGGTCCAGAAAAGATCCACTCTCCCCCGGGCACAGAGGAAATTTCTACCGTCAGGAGGGGAGGGGAGAAAAAATTGTTTCTGATAATAGTAAGTGTATTAGGACATTCTAATTTCAAAGGGGATAGGGGATTAACTTCCAATCTCCTTCATACATAATCTTATGAATCTATTCAAAGTTTTCTGGAATAAGCCAATAGCATATTAAATCACAAATACCAACAACCAGTAGCAGATACCTCGTAAAATATTGGGGGTACTGTTGAGATGTCTGTTAACAAATCCTATCTAGTGCATATTTCTCTTGTTCACCCATTCACTGGCAATATGCTCTACCTTATATTACTCTGTCTAATGCCAGCAAATTTTACAGTTTTACTTGTTGAGAAGATAGCCTTGCAGCAGTTTCCAATTTTCCATGTTTCGCCCACACAGAGAACACAGTACATTACAGGGGATGAGAAGGGTAAAAGCCATATGAACCAAGGGTTATCAATTACGTTAATACTAGAACCAACTTCAACCAAAGGTTGGGTTGTGCTACTACATTAGGTCTTCTCATTCGTAATAATTTGCAAAGTTTATAGGTTGGACAGGAGGGAATTGCTCATATTGCTGCATGCGAACTGTGAACTTGTACTATATACTGTAATGTTAGCTGACCGGTACATTAAATACAGTATGTAGAGCTAATGATAGTCTTGTATTTCCTTTCTTATAGCTCATGTGACTAAACGTTTTGCGGGAGCAACAGCTTCATCAGTGAAAGGTGCCATGGCCCAAAAGTGCAAAGACAAAAGAAATGCTGATATGAAAAGAAGAAAAATTGTAGAACACATTTGAACTGCTAAGTTTTTTCCTTATTATAAATTATTTTGTATGGTAGCTAAACATTTGTAGAAATTAACTGCATTAATAAATTATTTAAACTTCCTATATATACCATTACAGTATCTCACTGTTTGACAGGTTAAATGTGCATGATTGAAGCTTTGCATAATTTCACATGTGAAACTGGAACATGTGATATTTCACATGTGTATTTGGAACATGTGATATCTCACATGTGAAGTTCCACATGTCAACACGTGTGAAATTATGTGTTTCACATGTAAAGTTTCTCATGTGAAGTTTCACATGTGAATTTGGAACATGTCAATTTGGAACATGTGACTTTTCACGTGTGAACACATGTGAAATTATGTGTTTCACATGTGAAGTTTCACATGTGACATTTCACATGTGAATTTGGAACATGTGAATTTGGAACATGTGACTTTTCACATGTGAACACATGTGAAATTATGTGTTTCACATGTGAAGTTTCACATGTGAAATTTCACATGTGAATTTGGAACATGTGAATTTGGAACATGTGATTTTTCACATGTGAACACGTGTGAAATTATGTGTTTCACATGTGAAACTTCACATGTGAAATTTCACAACCTCACATGTGAATTTGGAACATGTGAAACATAATTTCACATGTGAAATTTCACATGTGAAAAATCACATGTTCCAAATTCACATGTGAAATTTCACACATGTGAAATCATGTTTTATAGTTATGAAATTTGTGTTTACCCATCTAATTACGTCAGATAATGCATATTGTGGCATAAATTAGCATACACGTTTATTTTCAAAATGGCGAACTACTGTTGAATTTTTATTACATTTTCTCAACAACTAAACGCGACAAACCGGCAAAAATTTGAAATTAAATATTCCGTAAGTATACCTAATAGATATAAGTAATACAAATTTTGGTTGCCAATGTCCTTTAAAGCTTATATTTTTGTCTTGACGACTACCAAAAATTAGGAAAATCGAACCATGGGAATTCTAGATATTTCCTTTTAAACATTGTAAACATATCTAGACTTGAGTCAACACGTGGCTGGAGTCGACTAACTTCAAACATCAAAATAACATTGAAAATAACGTTTACCTAAGAGATTTTTTCAGATATCACCAGATCTTTACCAGTAGTACTACTACACTTGAAATTTTGCAAAAAAATTTTAATATTAATATTTTTCTCGATTTATTTTCCTTCGAATGCAAATTTTTCTGCCCAAATACTGCGGATAACACGATGGAAAATAGAGCGTTCTCATTGGCCGAAAGCTCACGTGACCACTCGCTAATTGCTTGTCCGACCTCCTCTGCATGGCATGTGCGTAATAACAATAATTTTGGAACCTTGTGGCGAGCGTGAAGATATTTATATTTTAGTTTATAATTGTGTAGTTAAATTTTTTATGGTAAAATATTTAATAATATTTCGCCCAATTGAAAGTCGCAGAAGTTGAGTATTTGTACTGTAGTTAAAATAAATTAAAATATTACAATTGGCAAAACCGATTTCAAGTTTTACTCCATGTTACGAATAAATGTTCAGTTGCTGATGTCGCCAGTAAGAATATTATTATAATATTGACCACAAAATATCCCACACAAGTAGCTGAGTTGAAACGTATAAAGTAGATAATTCCTATTTACCTCAGTTTGATAAATCGTAGTTAAATTAAAGCTTGACAACGGATATCATTTGAGCAGCTTGGTATTTCTTTGCCAAAGTGGCAATAACGGCAGTAGAATCTACTTCTCTAACCTTTGTGGGCGGTGGTTGTCTCACCAAAGTTGGAGAATTAGGATGGTAACCGTAGGTAGCCATCTGAGAGAAGTTAACAGCAGCATGTTGGCAAGAACAAGTAAAGATCACCTTGGTCAGGAAATCGATCAAAGTCTTCACGATTCCTGAATTACTCGGGCACTGTATTATCCACACTTTTACCTCCAAATTTGTAGCCATTATCACGAATATCACGAATCCAATTAATCCTGAATTTCATTATCTTATAAAACAGGAGATGTGACGAGTATTTCCATTTGAAAATGTTGCTAGAGTAAAAAGCAAGGCAAAATCAGAAAACCAACTAGCATTTAGCATCCATGTGAGAACCCTGATCAAGTGTTGTCCTTCTACTCAGCCTAAGACTAAACTGAAATTAGTATAAACCTACTAGTAGGCTATCATGTATCGTGCGTTCTGATTGGCTACGCTACTAGTAGGCTATTAGTGATAGCCTACTAGTAGCAACCAGGGCGTATCAACAAACGGCGAAGGGCGCGAGGGTCAATGGCCGTTTTTAAGTATTAAAACGGATGGATTTAAAGGGAAAAAGCTTATCAAAGTGGCCTAATTTTGGTTCTGGACTACACACAAACAGACTCTTGGAAACTGCTGACACATGCGGTAAAATTTTAAAGTTTTCTCAACTTTGCTCGTAGTTTTGAACATGAAAGTGACAGGCGATTTTTTAAAATATATGCACAATGTTTGTTAATATTCCAAGTAGAATCCTTGAAATTCAACAATACTTTGTAGCTATATTTACTCCTATTTTCTCAACCTCTTTAGTATGTGCTTGTTTTAAGTACGAGTTTATGTATTTAGCTGTCATTTTAAAGAGTTTTTTTCGTTTAAATGTTGATATTTTGGCCGAGTTTGTTTTTCGCCTTTTCAAGTCGTCGAGTTTTTCGATTAAATTTTAATCCGTAAACTATTGTCTATGTATACTAGAATATACATGCATGCAGAAACCCTCGCATTGCTGACAAAACCGTTGTATTTTACGAACATGAAGTATCTAAAGTAGTTGTCATGGTAACACGATAATTTTTTAAGAATATTCTTAATACAAATGAAAAATCGCCTAAAAATATCACTTTTAATTACAAAATTATCAATTTCCCAACATATTTATGTTAGGTATGTAATTATTACCATTTGCATTCAAGCGTTAAGCGTTAAGCGAAATTACGGTTTGTTTCCGGTTTTGAAAACATGGGTTTGCCCAATGAAAACTGTACGTTTGACAGGTCAAACTTGTACGTTTGACATTTCAATTTTCAAAACAACACTTCGCTGGGCGGGACTTATTAATACAGACTACATTTGAATATTTGATTTTAAACCAACAAATGGAAATTTTAAAACGAATAAGTTTGGAAGATCCTATATTAGTGGAAAACCTTTATCAGAAGACTTTCGAGTATTAATCTTGGACACAATTATTGAGAAGGGAGGAGACAGTTTAACAGGTTATATTCCAGTTACTTTAATATATCGCGATTTCGAAACGTTTCTGCGTTAAATTTCACAGCAAACAGTTGCAAAGATATGGAGGGAATTTTGCCAAAGAAACAGTTTTGCTGTACAATCCCGTAGAGGACTACGACTATACGTATTAATAATCGCAAATTGACTGACAATGACTTGGAACTGATCGAAACGTTGAGAGCAAATAAGGGATCGATCTCAATGCGATATAATAATATGAATGGATATATGTTTTAAAATATGATGTCAATGAAATGTCAAACTATTAAAGTCTAAGTTTAGTAAATAACTAATTTATAAATCCCGTGTAAACAATACCGTACTTTCCAGAGGTTTATTTTTAATATACAGTAAGTCCCGCCCAGCGAAGTGTTGTTTTGAAAATTGAAATATCAAACGTACAAGTTTGACCTGTCAAACGTACAGTTTTCATTGGGCAAACCCATGTTCTCAAAACCGGAAACAAACCGTAATTTCGCTTAACGCTTAACGCTTGAATGCAAATGGTAATATACGTAATACAAGCTTCAATTTAAGGTAAAATTCAACCACAAACAATTCACAAAACGTTTTAAAGTGTTCTTTATAAAACTAAACTGCCTTTAACTATTAAATGGCTTTATCGATAAACTTTGAGTTTTGCAATAAAATGATTTAAAATTCTCGCTTGCAAATAACTTTGCTTTATTTTTATTTAAAAAATTCAATATAATAAAAAAGGGAATCAATATTAAAGATACACTGAAATTATATGCTGTCTTGTTTAGTTGTTTCATATACGCAAATGCCGTCGGGTTTTAAAGCCATTATAAAATCAATATTTAAAACAAACTTACCTTTGTTAACGTCGGCTCCCTTCTTTTAGCTGATTCTTTCGCCCTTTCTTTCTTGAAATTTACAAAATCTTGCAGAAATACGAGCAAAAATGAAGAATATTTGCAAGAAATTTGTCAATCATCAACTCATCAAATCAAGAAATGTCAAATGTTTGCTATTTCGCTGTCGTCATGCAGCCGTTATAATGCAAACTTTAATTTGGACCAATCAGTGTCCGCTTTTAATGACAGTCCGCCATATTTTTGAGATCAGTGAGGATGACCACCCATCGTTGGTGACCGACGCCCGCGCTCATTGATGAACTTCAGACTTCCCTAATGCTTTCGTTTCTCCGGGTGTAAATAGCCGGGGGGAATTAGTACCCTCGCACGGCGCTTCGCGCCGCCGGCTCGGGGACTAGATTATGGAAATGTTTGCCTCTTTATGTTCCAGATATTTTAAAGATTTAAACGACATTCGGATAATCGGATTCTTTTGCATGTGTGTGCATTATTATTCGGCTTTTTAACGTAAACTTTATTTACTAATTTAGTAACAATTCGGGAAGCCATTTGTGTTCGAAATTTTGGATTTTTAAGCCTTGTTTCCTTCTTTTTAATAACTAAGTTTTAATTAACCAAACGTTGCTTCTATAACGGTCTCTTATACTATTGCACTGTTTTACAACATGTTTTTTAACTTTTTTTAAAACTCACAAGTTGTATTTTTCAAGTTATTCTTGGGAGTTCGCAACACTGAGTAGTTGTCAACAAAGCCGAGGCGAAATGTCGCCAAAGGAAGCCATTTAAACGCTCATATATTTCGTTAAAACGTTATTATTTTACATAAAAATCAAGTGAGAAACTTCGTTTTCTATATGTGGTTTATATTAAAACAATTAGACAACTCAGCCTCGTTGTCTCTGAACGAATAGTCAACTCGGCTTCGCCTCGATGACTATTCGCTCATAGACAACTCGGCTTCGTTGTCTAGACTAAGGGCCTGTTCATATGATCCCGCTTACCGGGACGTCTCGCTTACCGAGACGAATATTTCCGTTCGTTCATATGGAATATTTCGTCCCGCTTGCCGAGATGAAATTACATTGTAGTTCTATAATTAGCGTATGCAAATCTTCTACATTTCAGTCAAGCAACACAAATACTTAGCCATTTTAGTGTTTTTCTTCGTTTATTTACAATAAAAAGTATTTCTTCAGGTGCACATTTAATACTTATTTACAAAACAAACATAAAACCAAGTAAAAAGTGTTAAATTAAACTGGCAAGACTTGTTTGACTTCATCCCGGTAAGCGGGCTGGCATGTTCATATGGAAAATTTTTCATCCCGCCTACCTATGATCTCGGCAAATTCAAACGAGATCTCGGCAAGCGGGCCAGCTCGCTTTCTCATATGAACACAATGCAAAATTTTATAGGAAAATAGATAGGCGGCGAGATCATCGGTAAGCGAGACGTCCCGGTAAGCGGGATCAAAAACTAAAGGTCATGTTTATCAAACCAGACTCAAACTTGTAGAAGAAAGTTTTTGAACAGAAGAATATATGACATATTGGAACACATTAAATATTCGCTTGAAAGTACATTAAACATCACGCTAATACGAAGCCAATTAATGAAGACACATTTTGCTCTAAATATTCGGTCAGAGGTGTGTTCTAATACACACTTCATGTTCTCTCACACTTTAATTAATGGACGACTTACGCTTTAGACTAAATTTTAATCTAAGTAAGAACAACGAAATCTATAAAAACAGGGCCCGGGGGTCTCTGTAAAGAACGGAAACCGAAACGACCGAATCCGGAAACGACCGAAACCAGAAACGACCGAAACCGGAAATTCCCGCCTAAATTTCCCGCATAACGAATAATTATATTGTTGATGCTCGATCGCTGGCATAACATTAATTTAGATAAATATCGTCCGAAAGTAAGGTTGTATACTATTTAACTGCTGACAATTTTGTCAATTATTTAATAATCTTACTGCATATTATCAACTTTCTAAACAATGCCGGTTCATGCCGGTTTTGTTTAATTTATAATAAAAACGATATTGCATTCACTTTCTCATTTGACATACGATACGGCTTCCACTAAAATGGCACGCTCTTGATTTTGAAAAAAATAAATACATGCTTATTTAGACGTATTCCAAATCCCAATTTATCTGGGGTCTCTGTAAAGAACGGAAACCGAAACGACCGAATCCGGAAACGACCGAAACCGGAAATGACCGAAACTGGAAATTCCCGCCTAATTTCCTGCATAAAATTGCCTAAAATTTAGCCAGCTAGCAGGCTCACTGGTAGAAAGGTGAGCCTGCACTGAACCATGCGTTTTATTCATTCATCCCTTATAATAAACAAAGACTGTCACCTATCAAATTGACGCACGGCGTGAAATGTACAACGACGAAATGTATAAAACAAGTGTGTAAACTCCAAAGATCGATAACATTTTTATATTTATCAACGTTTCGACCATATTTCAATCATTGTTAGGATAAAGAAATGTATATAACAATAATACGAAGCATTAGCAAGCCGCACAATATATTAAATATAGGCTAATACATTACGAGTTAATCAATACACATACAAATTAAAAGTCGAATAAAATACTACCATTGAATGCAATAATACTTGTACTACTTGTGATTGGAAGAACAATGTTCTGAATATTTGAAGCTATTAAAATGCAGTCAGATAAATTGGGATTTGGAATACGTCTAAATGAGCATGTATTTAATTTTTTCAAAATCAAGAGCGTGCCATTTTTAATAGTGGAAGCCGTATCGTATGTCAAATGAGAAAGTGAATGCAATATTGTTTTTATTAAATTAAACAAAACCGGCATGAACCGGCATTGTTCAGAAAGTTAATAATATGCAGTAAGATTATTAAATAATTGACAAAATTGTCAGCAGTTAAATAGTATACAACCTTACTTTCGGACGATATTTATCTAAATGTTATACCAGCGATCGAGCATCAACAATATAATCACAGATATAATTATTTGTTTTGCGGGAAATTTAGGCGGGAATTTCCGGTTTCGGTCGTTTCCGGATTCGGTCGTTTCGGTTTCCGTTCTTTACAGAGACCCTAAAAACAGCTAGAAAGAGCATCTTGGAATTAGTAATATTACAAAGTTTGGTTGCGAAATGTTGCAAAATACGGAAAATATAGCCCTTCAAAGTTGGCAAATTTGTATACTTTTGTATTACGTGCGTGAATCGGTAAATAAATTGGTTACCAATTTCCGCACGTAATAGAAATGTATACAAATTTGCCAACTTCGCAGGGCTATATTTTCCGTATTTTACAACATTTCGCAACCAAACTTTGCAGTTTTTCTAATTTTGATAACTACTTTCCGAAAATATCCTCATTATTCCCAGATTAAAATTTTTATAAAGCGCAAGTCATCAATTAAAATAAACAATATACTAACCTTCGACAAATCGTATATAAATCTTATCGAATTTTTGCATTTTGCCACAGATTTTGCCAAAAATATTTCTCAGACGGACAAAGGAATAATGGACACTCCTTGCGTAAAAATTTTAGTTTATCCCAAAGTTTCAATAAATTAATCCAAGATTGCATAATAGTGTACAATGTCGCTTATAAAAATATGGTTCAAGCCCGATTTCATGCAGTGAGGAATATAATCTCCAGATAGGAACAAAATCAAACTCGCGATCCGGACCGCTTGTTCATTTGTTCTCCATCCCGGATAATAAAAATTTAAAATTATTTTCGGGTCATATCATGAGCATCGAACTCTATACCAATCCAACTGCCGTATTTGCATCACATGTTGAAACAATGCTGTCGATCTGTGTTTGTTTGAGCCGTAGATTGTGCATATCCTCAGTCTGTAGGCCCTGTACCACCACAGAGTCCGATAGTTATACCACAAACACTGGCTACACACCCAGTAATTAATATCTAGCAAGAACAGGAAGGTCTGTGTCTCCGCGAAGAATATTCATGGTTGAATAGCTTCTACTGTTGAATTAATAAGTGAATATATTCACTTGTCAATATTCTTCCCCGAAACATTTTTCTAACCAAACGTGCTTTTTTGTATTTTCCTTGCTTCCTCCATCTTTCTTGAACGTAGAAAAATGAGAAGAAGAAATGGC